GGAATATAGTAGGGAATTCCATAATCAAACTTTGTAGACACGTCTTCAATACTCAGGAATTACCTGACTCCATAAATAACACATATCTTTATCTTATCCCTAAATTCCATAACGCTAATGACCTCAAGAATTATCGGCCTATTGGCCTTTCTAACACTATCTATAAGATAATTACAAAGATCATTGCAAATTGCATCAAGTTATATCTGTCTGACCTTATTGGCCCTTGCTAAACTAGCTTCCTTAAAGGACGTAGTGCTTGCGATAATGCTATCCTCGTCCAGGAAGTCATGAACCATATTAATAAAACTAGAGGGACGGAGGGCAAGTTTATTATAAAAATAAACCATAAAAAGCTTTTGATCGTGTTGAGTGGTCCTTTGTCTACCGTACTCTTCAGTTTTTAAAATTTCCCTCAAAAATCTCAAAGCTCATTTTAAACTGCATTTCCACTAGCAACATTGCCATCCTCGTCAATGGTACCAAAATAAACTATTTTTCTCCCTCCCGGGGTATTTGACAAGGAGATCCTATGTCCCCGTACATCTTTATCCTATGCATGGAACTCCTATCCACCTATATTAATCATCAAGTCGATGTCCAACTCTGGGATCCTATCACCCTTAACAAAAATGGACCCCAACTTTCACATATGTTCTTTGCAGATGATCTTACCCTTATGGCTAAAGCTAACCAAAAATCAATTCAATCGATTCATAATTGTCTGAGCCATTTTTGCACCTTATTAGGGCAAAAAATCAACCCTACCAAATCTAGGGTTATATTCTCAAAAGGCTGTCAAGAAAGCCCTCGTCAATTAATTCAGAATCTTTTAAAAATAAGAGCTACCAATACTTTTGGCAAATATCTCGGCTTTCCCATTGTGAATAATAAACCTAGACCCTATGATTTCTAATACATCATAGTCAATATAAAAAGTAAGCTCGCTAACTGGAAATTAAACTTCCTAACTCCAGCGGGTCGACTCACTCTCATCAATTCTACTCTCAACATCATCCCAGCATATGCCATGCAATACTTCCTTATTCCTAAAAAAATTTGTCACAATATAGATAAAATTCAAAGGAACTTTCTATGGGGCACTACCCCTCAAAAAAGGAAAATTCATTATATAAACTGGGACACTGTCACTCTACCAAAGGACCAAGGAGGTTTAGGCAATACGAAAAACTCATGATAAAAACATAACTTTTCTAACAAGTCTCGCTTGGAGACTCTTCTCTCAAAACAATTCCCTTTTGGAACATACCTTAATTAAAAAGTAATGCCCCAAAAACAACGCATCCTCCAATTCCTTTATTTGGAAAAATATTTTAAAGGGTGGTACCATATGCTCTAAGGCTATAGCATGGGACCCAGGGTCAGGAAATAATATCGACTTATGGAACTCTAGATGGATTCCTCATTCACCACCCCTCCGTTCAATTATTCAAGGTCCTTTGACCCAAAAGGACCTTAGACTTAGTTTACATAACATTTGGGATGGCCTCCAGTGGGATTGGTCAAGAATTTCTTTACATATCCCATAAGAGTTTATCAACCAAACTAAGGCAATCTCTCTGAGCCAGAATAAGGTAGATACCCCTTACTGGTCTTTAAATACAAATGACATTTTTTCCACAAAGTTGGTTAACAAACTACTTCATCCCACGCCTGACTATGGGTATGATTTTAACTGGATATGGACTCAAAATACACTGCCAAAAATCCAATTCTTTCTCTGGCTTTGTTCTCATAATAAGCTACCCACAAATAACTATCTGCATCATATAGGTATCAATGTAACCTCTAATTGTATCATTTGCAAGCATCCCTCAGAATCTATCCACCATATTTTTCTCGAATGCCTTATTGCACGAAAATTCTGGTTGGACCTTGGGTTAAATGTCACTGTTCTCCCCCTATCACTAGATCCACTGGCTTTAATTAATAAAAGACATAAATATTCCCATCCTCAACTACCCTATACCTTGGGACTTTTTCTTTCCCTTTTCCCTGTGGCACATTTGGACAAACAGAAACCATAATGTCTTTAATGGAACTAACATGTTTGTTGATATTAAAACAGTGTGTATGAGGGCTATGGAATATGTGTTCTATACAGGGACCTCGACCACTCCCATTACTACTAAAAATATCCAAGTCAGGTGGTTCCCTCCACTTCCAAGATCTTTTAAGCTTAACATGGATGGCTGCTACTACGTTAAAGACAAGACTGGTGGTATTGGAGGTGTTATAAGAAATGCTAATGGGGACTGGGTTATAAGATTCTCCAAAAAGATCTATGCACTCAACCACACTCATGCCGAGCTAAGTGCCTTAGAGCATGGGCTGCATCTAGTAATAAACCATCAACTAACTCCGGTGGAAATTGAAACAGACTCTATCGAGGTAATTGAACTGTTAAAACAAAAAATCCCTATCTTTAACAATATTGTTTGATTCTTGTAGGTCTCAGTTGAAGAAGTTGGGGAATTCAGTCATCCGGCATAGCTTCCAGGAGGGGAACAAAACAGCACATGCTTTGGCAAATGAAGGGTCTAAGCAACAGTCAAGTGATAATATATATATATATATATATATATATATATATATATATATATACCTTACAATCAGACAAAGAAGGCGTGTTGTCTACTAGAACAATCCCTATATCTATGTCTACTAAGTTTGCTAGTTTTGGAAACCTATGTGTATTATCTGCTCAAAGCAGCTATAATGGGACGTACAATGTCCCTGTAATGACTTAATATAAATAAATATTTCCTTGTTTTTACCACACAAAAAAAGTCTTATAAGCAATAGCAAATATAGAATACATTGGCGGACAGAAACCGCACTGACATCGGTTGCTTAGCCTTACGTTGCCCTTCCAAAGAACATCAGGAAGGTGTTGCGTAACAGTTGCTCTGATACCAACTATTACGCAACACCTTCCTGATGTTCTTTGGAAGGGCAACGTAAGGCTAAGCAACCGATGTCAGTGCGGTTGTTGTCCGCCAATGAGGTCCCATCCGCACGCTAGACTAGATTGCCAGTGTCGTGCGGGAAAACCAATGTCATGAGCAATTGCGGAAGCTGAGAGAGAATTGGGTTTTGAATGATGATGATGATTTTATTGATAACTGAAATGCTGATTACAAAGATGCGGTGTCGAGGGGGATTTAGGCGCTATAAATGCTGAAGTGAGGCCGTAAATTTTGAAATGTAAAATCTAACTTCATATATATATATATATATATATATATATATATATATAATTCGATCTAGTTTGGTCGAATCCGCCTTAGTTAGACACTGCTTATCAAGAACATTTATTCCTTCTTGAAATTTTTTCAAATATTAGGACACTTTTATATATACCTCTACATTTCTGAAACGAAATTAAAGCAATGGAATTAATTAATGAAACTAAAAATAGGTCTACTGTCAATAGCAACTAAATTAATTAATGCATATTTTAACTTTAAATTTCATCCTAAGATTGAAAATCAGAACTTCAAACTAACATGGAAAACGATTATAAGCAACAAATCGAACTCACAGTATTAGTCGTAGAGCATAGGAGAGAACATCAACGCAATTTATAACAAAATCAGACAAAACTCAACATCAGTTATAATTTCATAACAAAGCAAATCTGAGATAGTTCATAGAGAACATACCTAAATGCCAAGAAAAAAAACTAGAGTTTAGCAGCCTTTTGAAACAATCAAATCAACAAAAATAGTCATGTCTTCGAGCTTCGATGGCTTGTGCAAACCCAGAAAAAAATAGAGGAAGTTGAATTTTGGAACTTCAGTAGTCAATCCCCCTTCGGACCTCGTCGAAATGCAGTTTTCTCTCTTGTTTCCAAAGGTTTGTGATTTTCAGATTTTTTTTATTTTTTCCATTTTTTTATTTCCAAACTTGTTTTTGGCTTGATGTTGTTCTCTCAAGACTGAGAGAGATCAGGGAGCTAGAAGAGGAGGCGACTCCTTAGCTTGGGGTGAGTGAGGATGGGAAGAATAAAGAACGGAGAAGAAGAAGAAAAAAAATTCAGATGCGCCATTTTTCAAGCTCTCTCTAGGGGTCTCTATCGCTTAGGTCTAGGATCTAATTATCTGATGTTTTTTGTTCTAGGTCTAAGTCTTGGTATTTTAATTAAAGGGGAGGGGTTTTGGGGTGAATTTAACTTGTTTTAGGCCTCTTGAGCCTTGGCCCAATTCAAAAATAAGACAACTTTCTTTTTCTCTTTTGTTCTTATTTCCTTCTTTGATTTTAAAAAATCTAGTTAAATTAATTAAACAAGCTAAATAAAATCCTAAATTAGGTTCTACCTTAAATTATTTTATAAAGTTAATCTTACTTATTTTACTAATTAACACTAATTAATTTAAAACTAAAAGCTAAAATGTGGACATGACTATTGTAGTAATTTTTTTTATTTTGTTTAATGAATGCAATTTAATTATGAAATTAAATTCTTAAATTCAAATTAAGCCAAAGATGACATAGAGAATTAAAACATGACAATTTTTTATGATTTTTCTATGATTTTAAAATATTAAAAAAGCATGAAATACAACTAAATAAAGAAAAACTTCTAAAATCCCTTAAAAATTATTTTTTGGTTTATTTTTAGGAGTTATTTTCATGTAGGGCAAAAATTAGGTGCTCACAGCTGCCCCTCTTTACTTGAAAATATGAAGAGTTTTCGAGTAAAGATAAAGTGAGCAATTATGAGCAATTTTTGCTCGTTTGAAACTCCATTTGGAAGCATTCTTTGAAAGATCTGACCGAACCTTGCTTCCGAGGTTGCCTACATATCCTTAGCTATAAAGGAATCAGATCAGTGCAGTTCGAAAAGTTTTGGTAGTCGGGACTATCGAAAAACTGTGATTTCACTGTTGTTGCTACTGTTTCTGCTTGCTGAGCTCCTTATTACACCAAAATGAAAAATAAAAAGCTACACTAGCTAAGCCTATCAACTACGAGTTACAAGATTCCTATCTATAAACCTTCTAATCTTGATCTTGAGTCTTGTATGGTTCTTCCTGCAGACTCTGATCTGAATCTTGATACTCGTTAGCTGCAACCGCTGATTCATGCTTCTTCGGTTTTTCGGATCAAGGCGGGACATGCAAAACTTGTGCCTTCAATCATATCTTGAGCAGTCCGCATCTTTTCTCCGCTTCTTCACTGAGAGTTCAACTACTTTTCTTGTTCTTCTTTTCTTTTATTTGGGTTGAGACTTCTTCTTTTGGTCATCTCAAACCTTGTGCCCCACGGTGAAAACCTGTTCAGGCACCAAAGCAGACAAACGAACAAAATTTTATATCCTTGTTTATACTAGGAAAATTTTTGGGAGTTATTGTAACAAAATCTAAACTATTTCTTTATTGAAAACAATTAAAATTATGATTGTGTATCCTTGGAAAAAAAAGATTAGGGAGTGGAACCCTATATTTATAATGAAATCAACTAGGGAGTGGAGACCCTATGTTGAAAAAGAGACTAGGGAGTGGAGACCTTATATCTAAACTAAAATCAACTAGGGAGTGGAAACCCTATGTTGGAAAAGAGACTAGGGAGTGGAGACCCTATATCTAAAATAACTTCAACTAGGGAGTGGAGACCCTATGTTGGAAAAGCGACTAGGGAGTGGAGACCCTATGTCTAAAATAACTTCAACTAGGGAGTGGAGACCCTATGTTGGAAAAGCGACTAGGGAGTGGAGACCCTATGTCTAAAATAAAATCAACTGGGGCGTGAAAACCCTATGTTAGAAAATTGACTAGGGAGTGGAGACCCTATATCTAAAATAACTTCAACTAGGGAGTGGAGACCCTATGTTGGAAAAGTGACTAGGGAGTGGAACCTTAAATTTATAATGAAATCAACTAGGGAGTGGAGACCCTATGTTGGAAAAGTGACTAGGGAGTGGAGACCCTATGTTGGAAAAGCAGACTATGGAGTGGAGACCCTATCCCTAAAATAAAATTAACTAGGAGTGAAGACCCTATGTTGGAAAAGCAGACTAGGGAGTGGAGACCCTATGCCTAAAATAACTTCAACTAGGGAGTGGAGACCCTATGTTGGAAAAACAGACTAGGGAGTGGAGACTCTATGTTGGAAAAGCAGACTAGGGAGTGGAGACCCTATATTGGAAAAGCGACTAGGGAGTGGAGACCTTATGTCTAAATAACTTTAACTAGGGAGTGGAGACCCTATATTGGAAAAGCGACTAGGGAGTGGAGACCCTATGTCTAAAATAACTTCAACTAGGGAGTGAAGACTCTATGTTGGAAAAGCAGGCTAGGAAGTGGAGACCCTATGTCTAAAATAACTTCAACTAGTGAGTGGACACCCTATGTTGGAAAAGAAGACTAGGGAGTAGAGACCCTATGCCTAAAATAACTTCAACTAGGGAGTGGAAACCCTATGTTGGAAAGGCAGACTAGGGACTGGAGACCCTACGCCTAAAATAACTTCAACTAGGTAGTGGAGACCCTATGCCTAAAATAAAATCAACTGGGGAGTGGAGACCCTATGCCTAAAATAAAATCGACTAGGGAGTGGAGACCCTATGTTGTAAAAGCAGACTAGGGAGTGGAGACCCTATGTTGGAAAATCAGACTAGGGAGTGGAGACCCTACCTAAATAAAATCAACTAGGCAGTGGAGACCCTATGTTGGAAAAGTAGACTAGGGAGTGAGGACCCTATGTCTAAAATAACTTCAACTAGGGAGCGGAGACCCTATATTGGAAAAAACGTACCTAGAGGTTGGGGACCCTAGGCTACCATGATTTTGAATTTTTCTTCTTTTTCTTTTTATTTTTGGTTTTAAGAAAATGAGTAAAAATGCAGGAAAGAATTCAGAGAAGACTTCCTTTTGTATTGATTATTGCTGCAAAGCTGTTTCTAGCCCTTGCGCAGGTTGGTTGCACCTGCTTCTTGCAAGGTTGCTTTGGATTGCACTTGTTTCATGTTTTCAAACAAAGAACAATTGTTAGTTTTAAACGGTGGTTGGTTTTGTGGCCTTGATTATTTCAATCACTTGATCTCGGCCCAGCTTCTTTGATGAAGATCTCAATTGCAACCGCTCGTTTCTTGGGGACCGATTTCATTTCAAGACCTGAGAACCTCTAGTTTTTTCCAGATTTTGCCATGAGGTTGGTCGGTAGAACTCAACCTTTTCGACTTTATTTTGCCTTCGTAGGCCTTTCACTTTTGACTTGTTGTTTTTCTTTTTCTTTTTTTTTTTTGTTTTTAACCATTCGGAGCATTGGGGAACTTTTGGCTCCTCAAACTTGCTGCAACGGCTAGTCGCGTGGGACTTAACCTTTTCCAACTTTATTTCGCCTTTATAGGACTTTCATTTCTGGCTTCTTTCTTCCAACTTCAATTTCAAAGCATTTGGGGTACTTTGGCTTTTTCAAATCTTTGTCGAGGCGGTTAGCCAAGTGGGACTCAACCTTTTCAACTTCCAAAAGTTTTCAATTTCAAAACATCGGCCAACATGGCCGGTCGAAGTCAATTTGATGCCCCTGACGAGGCTGGGTACCTCATTACACATTAGCGCGTGTCAAATGAGAACCCTGTAAATCAGTCTTTTCATCCCTTCTTTGTCTCAGTTTCAGAATAGAGTTAGACCGAAAGGGATTCAACGAAAACAAATAATGGAATGGAGAATGAATTTAAAACAAGTAGTGTGCCTTTCGGGGAAAGGAAAGAAGGACTTATTAGGGGTACATGCGGACTTCAATGAACATGACATACTTTTTGGACTGGATGTCTGATCTGTGTAAACCGTCCGACTCTCAGAAACTCATCACAACTTTTGCCTCAAAATCGAGAAACCTTTCCAGAACTCTGTCGGTGCCGATGGCTGTGAGGATCCTCTTTTCGATCAGGGGTGCCCTTTGCGGGTTTTCACGAGCTGACCTTTCTCATTTCTCTTCTCACCATCGCTTTATAGTGCCCGTGTGGATTTTCACTAACAAGACTCTCTCATTTTGATTTCTTTGCTTACTGTCGCCTCACGGTGCCCGTGTGGGTTTTTACCAATAAGACTCTCTCATTTTGATTTCTTTGCTTACTGTCGCCTCACGGTGCCCGTGTGGGTTTTTACCAATAAGACTCTCTCATTTTATTTCTCTCATTTTGACTGTATCGGATCCAAGTAACTGTTTCTTCGGTCCTTGAACATTCTCACCGATTGATCGGAAGAAGTTGAACAGGGTTTGGATAAAAAAGGATTTGGATTGAGTTACAACTTTGGAACTTTTTAGGTGGGATCATCGCCGAACCATTATAACATCTGCCCCAATTTCATTTTTGGGGGACTTTGTATTTTTTTTTTGGTGTGACTGAACCCCAGAGAGAGGCTGCCTACGTATCCTTTTGAAATCAAGTTGAACGTGGTTCAGAAAACTTTGTTTTTGATTTTCTTTTATTTTTCTGTTTTGTTTTGTTTTCTCTTTCTTTTTCCTTTCCTTTTCCTCTTTTTTTTTCATTCTTCATTTCATTTTCTTTTTGTCTTCTTTTTTTTTTGTTTTTGTTTTGTTGTTTTCTTTTTTCTTTTTTTTTAATAGCACTTTCAGGTTCCAAAAAAGGTAATCAAAGGAAGGTAACCGGCTCAAAGGGTTTACAAAAGGATTATTGGTGTTTGGATAGCGAGAAATAAAGCCTTCGCCATCCCAATCGGAGCATTAACGCTAAAGGATCAAACATAGTACCTTTTAATTGCACCTGCATTGATAGTTGTTTTAGGGATATTTCTTTCGATGTTCCCCAGGTACAATGCTCTTTTTGGCAATACTCATTACCATGTATGGACCTTTCAAATCTGGAACCAATTTTTCTTCAGCTATTCTGAGTCTTTGCTTTATTTCCTTAAACTTATCTTCATTGCATTTTGATTCTTGACTCATTATTTCGAAGCCTGACAACATTTTAGGATCTGGGCATGAAATCCGCAAGCATGTCATGTTATTGAAATCTGCATTTAACAAAACTAAAAAGAGAATTAGAAAAGTGAAATTAAGAAAAGAGACATTCCTGGACAATGAAATATTAATTTCATTTGATTTTTTTATTTTAATTTTTTAATTTTTTGAAGATATAAGGGTTTACATCAGAAAGTAAGACAATAAAGTAAAACATCCGGATCACACCTTGAGATAATCCGGACACAGAAAGGATAGCAAGACTACCTACTAAGACTCCCGTCTGATGGGGAACTTTCAGGCTTGGCGACCGTCTTTCGACTTCTCTTCTATTTCGGCAATGGCTGCAATAGCCTTCAGTGCCGGATCAAATTCATTATCTTCACAAATCATTCCAACTATTGGCACAGTGTTGTGAGCAGGCAACAGATTGTTCATCACATCAGGAGCTTCTTCATCCTGAAAAACGATTCTTTCCGCTACAATCAAATCTTTAACTGCCCTTTTAAGGGTCCAACAGTCCTCCGTACTGTGTCCTGCTGCTCCAGAGTGGTATTCACATCTAGCATCAGCTCGGTGCGAGGGGGACTAGGGGTTCGGTCGGTTTGGGGCCACTAGCTGCAATAGATTTAGCCTGATTAGCTTTCAGAAAAAGCTTCATTACGATTCACCAATAGGGGTGAAATGATTCTTTCTAAAAGGCTCTCTTGGGCGGGGATCGTATTGGGAATCATTTGGTTGAGGATTATATGGAGTTTGGTAAGGATGGGTATTTCTGGGAGGTAGAGCTCGGTTTTGTGTATAATGTTGTGGTTGCGTGTAAATTGCGCGCTCATCACCGCATAAGGAGGCGGTGCCACGGCATAAGCATCATCTTGAAGGGGATAATAGTGTAGTGGGACCATAGGAGGCACATATGACTGGCTCAATGACCTGTGGGCCCCCCTCGAGCTTGAAACCATCATGATTCCCTCCTCACTCCCATTTCTGTTCATCAAACCCTCCAAACCATTTTGAACATCTGGTTATGTGGCTTTAAAAGCAGCATGACTCAAGATTCGACCCGTTTTTAGACGGTTTTCAACCATTTCCCCAATTTTGATAGCCTCAGCGAACGGCTTACCCACATCAGACATCATGTTCTAGAAGTAGTCAGCCTCTTGGGCCTGCAGGAAAACCATGACCATTTCAGTTTCGTCCATTGGAGGCATTACCCTGGCAGCTTGCTCATGCCATTCGACAGCATATTCGCGAAAGCTTTCCACGGTTTTCTTTTTCAAATTGGACAAGGAGTTTCTGTCGGGAGCGATGTCCACATTATATTGGAACTGGCAGACAAAATCTTGAGCCATATCGTCCCACACATGCCAATGAGTAATTTATTGATCCGTATACCACTCAGAAGCGATTCTGGTGAGGCTTTCCCCAAAATAGGCCATTAGCGGCTCCTCTTTTCCACTAGCACCCCTTAACTGGTTACAGTATCGGTTCAGATGAGCGATCGGGTCTCCGTGCCCGTTGTAGTTTTCAAATTTTGGCATCTTGAAGCCAACTGGAAAGTGGAAATGGGGAAACATACAAAGGTCAGAGTGTGATACACTTTTTTGGCCACTCAGACCTTGCATGTTTTTCAGGCTTTGTTCTAGGCTCTTCATCTTCCGAACCATTTCCTCTTGCTCGGATTTTTAACAACCTTTTCTTGCTCCCCCGAGAGATCATATTGCGGAGGTTGAGTGAAAGAGTACGGGGTCACATATGTTATTTCTGATTGAAGCTGTGGACCTTGAAAGGAGAACATTGGAGGCTCAACATACAGCCGTGGTAAAGTTGATTGTGTTCTGGTATCGACTAGTGTTGTAGAGAAATATATTGGAGGTGTCCAGGAAACTGACGCCTGGGGGCGAACCACAGAAGGAAAGTCAGGATCATTGAACGGCATTGTAGGGTGCCCGCATGGGATGAGCGAGTTGGGCACAGGGGCGTTGGTAACCTCACTTGACCTGGGGATCAACTCAGGGAACCCAGGGATTGCACTTGGCAGTTCCCTACCATTAGACCAGGCGTCCCACATTTCCAATATGCGGAGACGCAAGATCTTATTCTCTTCAGCAACTGCTGATTCTAGCTGCAAAATAGCCGATGTCGGGCTATCCTCAGGACCGATGATTGGTAGATTGCTACTGGAGGCCATCTGTACCTTTGGATCTTGTGAAGGAGGGGAGACTAGACTACCAACAAAACCAACCACCAAAACCTGGCTAGTTTGCACATCGAACAACCTTGTTAGTTTTGAGATGCTTAATAGATAAGAAATCGCACGTTTGGATGCAATGCACCTAAATAGTTAAACGTTTCTACCAAATGTTTGAACGGTTGCATGTTTCATCCCGGCCTTAGTTAACCCTTTCAGTATGTACCCCTTTTCTTTTATTTCTGCCTCTCTTAATCACTCTTGATTTTTTTTCATTTCGTTTCTGTCGCTCTTTTATTTTTTGGCACTCTCTTTTCTTTTTTATTTTTGTCACTCTTTTATTTTTTGTCACTCTCTCTTATTCTTTTTTCACTCTTTTCTTTCCCCTTTTTTTCACTCAATTTTTCTTTCTCTCTTTTTTTCAGTTTATTTTTTACTCAATTAATTTTATGGTAATGATCGAATCCGATAGGGATTGCCTACGTATCATGACGCCGCATAAATCAGATCTTGCGTAGTTCCGGAGATCGAGAATGGAGTAAATAAACTAATTTTTTTGGAATTTTTAAAAGAAATGCTTTAAAAAAAAGAAAGGAAATTCTTTTATGGATTTTTTATTTTGATTTTTATTATTTTTTTATTTTGAGAGAAAGACTTCTAAAAATTAATTTGCTTTTTATTTGAACTTTGAGAATTTTAAAAGTAAAAAGAAAATATTTTTGTTTGAATTTTCATTTGTTTTCTCTTTTTCTAAAGAAGAAAGAAAAAAAATATATATTTGAATTTTGGATGTTGCTTCTTGATTTTCAAAAGAGGGACTTTTAAAAAATATTTTGAATTTCTGAGTTTTTATTTATTTACAAAAGCACTTCTAAACAAAAGCGAAAATATTTTGGACTACAATTTTTCAAAAAAACAATTGAAAGAAATAATTTTAAACAAGTAAAATATTTTTTTTTAAATCTTTTTTTTAAAAATTTTGAGAAAAATACTTCAAAATAAAGGAAACCCGTATTTTGAATTTTGATTTTTGATTGATTTTTTTTATTTCTTTTTTTTCATATGAAAGACTTCAGAAAAAAGGAAACTATTTTTTTTTTGAATTTTAAAAAAAAAACTTCTTTTTTTCTTTTTTTTGAATTTTTTTAAGGAAAGATTTCTAAAGAAGGAACTAAAATAAATTATTTTTGAATTTTTTTTAAAACAATTGGGGCCGGAACCGATGAGGTTTGCCTACGTATCTCATATCCGGTGAGAATCAAACCCGGGTAGTTCGGTCAATTTTGACACAACAGAAAAATATGAAATACTTTTTGAAATAATTTTCCTTTTTTTTCTCTTTTTCTCTTCTTTCTCTTTTTTTTTCAAAATTTCGTCAGAGTTTCGGTACTTTTTGGACACCAGATTTTCTGAAGACGGGTAATTATCTCTCTCATACCTCAATTTGATTTTTTTTTTAATTTTTTCTCCCATATTCTAGAAGCCGGTCAACATGCAATCCGAAGCAAATAAATGTACAAGTAGCAAGTAAAATGCATCAGGATGATCTTTTTGATTTAGGGTACACCTGTCCTAAATGGACCCAACCCTTGTGTTGAGTCCTCAAAGTCAAATGCACGTGATGCAAACAAACGTTCCTATTAGGGATCCGGCATGAGGCTATGTTATACTAGGTTTAAAAATCTGGGTGAATTGTTCTAGACCTGGCTTACCCGAGCGGACAGCTCGAGCCGGGGGGGCAGCGTACCGGGAATACAAAAGCTTCACTGGCTTTGTAACTTGCCCGAACCTCGTTCTAAAATTGGGATATGACTCTAACAGAAAAGAAGTTACACGAAGTGCACACTTCCCAGATAATTTAGAAGACTCAGAGGGAGGAGGGTTTCGTAACAATTTATATACAGTCCAAACAATATCAAAGCGGTACAAAGTGGCAATTAGCACATTAGGCTCAACATGTAAAAATCAGGTAAAAACGAGCCAACTATAACAGTTATTCTAAACTCGAATTCTTGAACCCTGAACCAGAGATTCTGGGTTCTGTTCCCTAGCAGAGTCGTCAGAGCTGTCACACCTCCTTTTTACCACCCGAGAGAGTATATAAGGGAGTCTTTCCAATTAAAATGACATTATTCGAAATGAGATTATTTTATTTAAATTATCAGAGTCGCCACTTGGAGTATTTATGGTATCCCAAGTCACCGATTTATTTTAAAATCCCAAATCGAGGAAAATTCGACTTTACTTTATAAGTCTACGAACCAGAAATTCTAGATAAGGAATTATGTTAACCGGGAAAAAGGTATTAGGTATTCTCGGGTTCCGTGGTTCTAGCACGGTTGCTTAAACTATTTATAATTGGCCTATTATCTGATTTACTATATGTTTTAAGCCTATTGTGTATTTTTTAACTTTTTAACCGTTTTTAATTATTTAGATCGCTTTTTAGGATTTATGGAATTATTTCTTGAACAAGTTACGATCGTCGTACACTTGTTTGTTTTAAAACACGCCGCGAACCATGCTACATGAAATGCACCCTCGATTCACGACATGTTTTATTTTTATTATTATTCGAAGTTGTTGTGATCGGGTCACATGAAATGCATACCCGAATTTGGGAATTATGTATCGTGACCATGCCACGGAAACCATACTCATGGCCACAATAATTAATTAATCGTACCTAAAGCAAACTACGATGTTCATTAATCAATTTCCTAAAGCTAATTTGAGATTATTGCAAGGTCATAGATTAAAGAAATTATTTGTGGAAAGAAGTGATATAGTTAATCACCAAAATTATTTACATGACTGATTCTATTGACAGTATGCTTATGACTTATCAACCTTTGTTAAATTGGTTGGTAATTTTTGATTATTTGGAGCTAGACGCAAGAAATGGCTAGAAACAGTTAAAGCTCTTAAACAAAATTCCATAATATTATCAATTCAGCCAATTGATACTTGGGCTGTGAAACTTACAAAAATAAACATTATCACTTTAAAAATGTTAATCATGTTTATCCATAGTAGTATGCAAGGAACGCTAAAATAAATTTTCTCATCTAATTGAACAATGTCTATTCGAGATTTTTTTGACCTAAATGCCCTTTCAATTACAATATGGGTGTTTCCCGAGATTTTTGTTAGATCACTGCCAGAGAAGCATAATGAAATCTTATCATTACCTCTGACATTTTTAATTTTTAGATGAATTAGTCTCAACTCTCAAGAATGGTCAAAGAGTTGTAGGTCGGTCTTATAAGCAATAACAAATACAGAATTTAGGCGCTATAAATGCTGAAGTGAGACCGTTAATTTTGAAATGNATATATATATATATAATTCGATCTAGTTTGGTCGAATCCGCCTTAGTTAGACTAAGCTTATCAAGAACATTTATTCCTTCTTGACATTTTTCAAATAGTAGGACACTTTTATATATACCTCTACAGTTCTGAAACGAAATTAAAACAATGGAATTAATTAATGAAATTAAAGATATGTCTACTGTCAATAGCAACTAAATTAACTAATACATATTTTAACTTTAAATTTCATCCTAAGATTGAAAATCAGAACTTCAAACTGACATGGAAAACGATTATAAGCAACAAATCGAACTCACAGTATTAGTCATAGAGCATAGGAGAGAACATCAACGCAATTTATAACAAAATCAGACAAAACTCAACATCAATTATAATTTCATAACAAAGCAAATCTGAGATAGTTCATAGAGAACATACCTAAATGCCGAGAAAAAAAAGAACTAGAGTTTAGCAGCCTTTTGAAACAACCAAATCAACAAAAACAACCATAACTTCGAGCTTCGATGGCTTGTGCAAACCCAGAAAAAAAACAGAGGAAGTTGAATTTTGGAACTTCAGTAGTCAATCCCCCTTCAGACCTCGTCGAAATGCAGTTTTCTCTCTTGTTTCCATAGGTTTGTGATTTTCGGATTTTTTTTTTTAATTTTTTATTTATTTTTTATTTCCAAACCTGTTTTTGGCTTGATGTTGTTCTCTCAAGACTGAGAGAGATCAGGGAGCTAGACGAAGAGGTGGCTCCTTAGCTTGGGGTGAGTGAGGATGGGAAGAATAAAGAATGGAGAAGAAGAGGAAAAAATTTTCAGATGCGCAGTTTTTCAAGCTCTCTCTAGGGGTCTCTATCGCTTAGGTCAGGGATCTAATTATCTGATGTTTTTTGTTCTAGGTCTAAGTCTAGGCATTTTAATTAAAGGGGAGGGGTTTTGGGGTGAATTTAACTTGTTTTGGGCCTCTTGAGCCTTGACCCAATTCAAAAATAAGACAACTTTCGTTTTCTCTTATGTTCTTCTTTCCTTCTTTGATTTTAAAAAATCTAGTTGAATTAGTTAAACAAGCTAAATAAAATCCTAAATTAGGCTCTACCTTAAATTATTTTGTAAAGTTAATTTTACTTATTTTTACTAATTTAACACTAATTAATTTAAAACTAAAAGCTAAAATGTGGACATGACTATTGTAGTAATTTTTTTTGTGATTTTTGTTTAATGAATGCAATTAAATTCCTAAATGCAAATTAAAGATAAGATGTCATGATAATTAAAACACGACAATTTTATATAATTTTTCTATGATTTTAAAATATTAAAAATGCATGAAATGCAACTAAATAAAGAAAAACTTCTAAAATTCCTTAAAAATTATTTTTTGGTTTATTTTTAGGAGTTATTTTCATGTAGAGCAAAAATTAGGTGCTCACAATAACAATAGCAATTGGGGAGGCAATAACACCCAAGGGGGTTGGAATAATAATCAAGGGAATCGGGGGTCGGGCTTTCAAAGGCCTCCGATATTTCAACAACCAAACAACTCGCCTCCATATCTATCACAAGGTCCTAGCACGTCCAACAATGATATGGGATGGATTGATTCTATGTTTGAGAAAATGATAAAGAAAAACGCCGACTCCGATGCCCAATTGGCGTCCCACAATATTTCTATCCGAAACTTGGAGGTCCAACTTGGCCAAATTTCTCAAGCGTTGAATACTCGCCCTAAGAAGGCACTACCGAGTGAAACAGTAGTAAAACTGAAGGGAGGGAACAATATGGTCACGCTATGGCGGTGACTACAAGGAGTGGTAGAGGTGGAGTTTCTAGTACCTCTAATGCAAGAAAGGTTATGAGTGATGATGTGTTGGTGCAAGAGGATGATGAGCAAAGCAATGATGTGCAAGTGAGTGATGAGAATATGAATGAGGAAGTAAGAATTGACATTGATGACAACGTAGAGGATACACAAAATGATGTGAACCCGTCTAGGAAACACGTGATAGACATACCAGAAATGGTAGTGCCCAAAGCCAAGACTTCATTGCCAAGGCCTCCTCCACCATACCCTCAGAGTCTTGCGAAACAAAACAATGAGAACCAGTTCAAGAAATTTATTGATATGTTGAAAAGTTTGTCCATAAATGTGCCTTTGGTGGAAGCTCTAGAACAAATACCAGGATATGCCAAGTTTATGAAAGACTTGGTAACCAATAAGAGATCCATAAATTGTGAAATGATCAAGATGACGTATCAAGTGAGTGCCATTGTCCATTCCATGGCCCCAAAGCTATAAGACCCCGGTGCTTTTACTATCCCGTGCACTATTGGTAGTGCCGATTTCGCCAAAACTTTGTGCGATTTGGGGGCAAGCATTAACTTGATGCCATATTTTGTATTCAAGACATTGGGGCTTGGGAAACCAAGGCCTACTTCCACGAGGTTACAAATGGCAGACAGAACAATGAAGAGACCATTGGGGACCATTGATGATGTGCTAGTTCGAGTCGACAAGTTCATACTTCCCGCGGATTTTGTGATTCTTGACTGCAAGGTTGACTATGAGGTGCCGATCATATTGGGGAGACCTTTTCTAGTTACAGGGAAGGCTTTAGTTAATGTAGAAGAAGGAGAGCTCACCTTCCGAGTGGATGATGAAAAAGTTGTGTTCCATATCTGCAAGTCAATAAGGCAGCCAAATAGCAACGAAGTATGTTCATTTGTGGATCTTGTGACCGAGGTGATTGTTGAAGACACCAGTGTTGTGATTAATGTGGAGGATCCTTTGGAAGCAGTGTTGTTGAACCATGATGTGACTGAGTATTAAGGCTTAGTTGAATGTGTCAATGCTTTAGGAGGAATGGGTTCTTACACATATGAGCCCCAGAAACTTTCCTTGGATCTTGAGAACCGAAAGACGCCACCAACAAAGCCCTCAATCGAGGAGCCTCCCGTATTGGAGTTGAAGCCTTTGCCCTCACACCTCAGGTATGAACTCTTAGGCCCTTGTTCAACTTTACATGTTATTCTTTCTTCGTGCTTAACTATCGTGTAGGTAGATTCCACCCTTGCGGTGCTCCAAAGAAGGAAGAAGGCAATTGATGGACTCTTGCTGATATTCGGGGTATAAGCCCCACCTTTTGCATGCACAAAATTATACTAGAGGATGATTCCAAACCTTCCGTGGAACATCAAAGGAGGTTGAATGAGGCCATGCAAAAGGTCGTCAAGAAGGAAATTATCAAGTGGCTAGATGCAGGGGTTGTGTACCTCATTTTGGATAGTTCATGGACTTCACCGGTACAATGTGTACCGAAGAAGGGGGTATGACTGTGGTTACAAATGAGAAAAATGAGTTGATACCCACTAGGACTGTCACCGAATGGAGGGTATGCATGGATTACCAGAAGCTGAACAAAGTGACCCACAAAGACCATTTTGGATAGACTTGCCTGGCGTGCCTACTATTGCTTTTTGGATGGATACTCAGGTTACAACTAGATTTTGATTGCACCGGAAGACCAAGAGAAAACCACTTTCACATGTCTGTATGGCACCTTTGCATTCTCACGGATGCCGTTTGGTTTGTGTAATGCACCGACTACCTTTCAGTGGTGTATGATGGGTATATTTACGAATATGGTGGAGGACTTCCTTGAAGTGTTCATGGATGATGTTAGTGTTGTGGGTGACTCTTTTGAAGAATGTTTGGGCAATCTTGACAAAGTGTTGGCTCGATGTGAAGAGACCAATCTAGTGCTTAATTGGTAAAAGTGCCACTTTATGGTCGAGGAGGGCATTGTCCTCGGCCATAAGATATCAAAGAATGGTACCGAAGTGGACAAAGCGAAGATTGAAGTGATTTTAAAACTCCCTCCTCCCATTTCGGTCAAGGGAGTTAGGAGCTTTCTTGGGCATGCGGGGTTCTACCGTCGGTTCATCAAGGATTTCTCAAAGGTGGTGAATCCCTTGTGCAAGTTATTGGAAAAGGATGCAAAGTTTGTGCTCAATGATGATTGCATGTAAGATTTTGAGCTTCTCAAGTATAAATTGACTACCACTCCCATCATCACCGCACCCAATTGGAGCTTACCGTTTGAGCTCATGTGCGATGCTAGTGACATCGCGGTAGGAGTTGTTTTGGGGAAAAGGATCAACAAGATATTTCATCCGGTCTATTATGCAAGCAAAATGATGAATTACACCCAAGTTAATTATACGGTGACCGAGAAAGAGTTGCTACCCATTGTCTTCGCCATGGAAAAGTTCAGGCCATATCTCATGGGTACCAAAGTGATTGTGCACACCGATCACGCGGCACTCCATTATTTGATGACAAAGAAGGACTCTAAAGCTAGGTTGATGAGATGGGTTCTGTTGCTTCAACAGTTTAACCTTGAAATTATTGATTGGAAAGGGAGTGAAAACCAAGTGACGGACCACTTGTCCCACTTGGAAGAGGAGGGGAGGCCCCATGATGGCCTCGAAATTAATGATTCATTTCCGGATTAACAACTCCTCTCCGTGTCTTTAAATAGTATGCCTTGGTTCACCGATGTGGCTAACTTTCTTATGACCGGCATTATCCCGAGTGAGCTCTCTTCTAACCAAAGGAAGAATCTTAAATGGTATAGCTTGGTTATTATTAGGACGAGCCCTATCTTTTCAAGATTTATAATGATGGTGTGATCTGGAGATGTATTCCGGAAGAGGAGCAAATGAGTATTCTTGATGCTTGTCATTCCTCACCCTACGGTGGTCATCATGGTGGGGCGTGAATTACTTCAAAGGTTCTTACTTGTGGATTTTATTGGCTTACACTATGTAAAGATACTGGTGAGCTTGTTAAGAGATGTGATGAGTGTCAGAGAGCTGATGGAATTTCTAAGAAGGATGAAATGCCTCTCACCACTATTCTTGAGATTGATATCTTTGACGTGTGGGCCATCAACTTCATGGGGCCATTTGTGAGTTCATGTAGTAACACTTACATTCTGATTACTGTTGATTATGTTTCCAAGTGGGTTGAAGCGGTGGCTTTGCCCAATAATGAGGCACGAAGTTAGGTGGCATTCTTAAAGAAAAATATCTTCACGAGGTTTGGCACTCCATGGGCGATCATCAGTGTTAAGGGTTCTCATTTTTGCAACAAGGCCTTCGATACTTTACTCCCCAAGTATGGTGTCAATCATAAAGTGTCAACCCCTTATTATCCCTAGGCTAGTGGATAAGTTGAGGTCTCCAACAAGGAGGTAAAGAGCATATTATCAAAAACTGTCAATGTAAACCGGACTAATTGGTCAAGGAAACTTGATGATGCTTTGTGGTCTTACAAAACTGCGTATAAGATTCTGATTGGTATGTCTCCGTACCGGTTGGTCTTGGGAAAGCATGCCATCTTCCGGTTGAGTTAGAGCACAAGGCCATGTGGGCGTTGAAGAAGTTAAACCTTGAATGGGATGTCGCTGCAAATCTCCAGGTTGAGCAACTACATGAACTTGATAAGTTTAGGTTTCATACCTATTCCAGCTCATCCTTGTACAAGGACAAGATGAAGTACTTATATGACAAATATGCCCGGAATAAGGAATTCAATAAGGGTGACTTGTTTCTTCTATTCAACTCTCAGTTACGACTATTTCTAGGAAAGCTCAAGTCAAAATGGAGTGGCCCTTTTGAAGTGGTGCATGTAACTCCGTTTTGTGCTCTTGATTTGAAAAACAAAAATGGTAAAATCTTTCGAGTTAATGGGCACCGAGTGAAGCACTATCTTGGCAAGTTTGATGATAGCCACGTGGTGGCAATGATCTATTTCAAGTGATTGATGGTAACATACGTTGTGCTGCGACATTAAATCTGGCGCTTCTTGGGAGGCAACCCATATATTTTTCTTTCTTTTTGATTT